CCTTTCTTTCACCAGATTCTCCCCTCCAAATTTTCTCAGCCATCCCCAGATTTCTTAGCCGTCACCTTCCTCAACCGCCAACCTTACCTCTTGCTTCCGCCTTCCCCTCTCTTTTTCCTCTTTCCCTCTATTTTCGGTTCCTCCCTTCTTCACGAAGCTCCCTTTTTTCCTCCGGTTCTCTGCTTTTCCTTTTCTTTTTCTCCTCTATCCTCTCCGTTGTTACCCTTTTTCCTCTCGAAGCCTTTCTGCCAAACCAAACCCTAGCCGCCTTTCTCTGCTCTTTTTTGTTTCTTCCCCCTGTCTTTTCCTTCGCCGACCCAGCCCCCTTTCTCTTTGTTTTGCTCAGCCCCCAAAACCTCTCCCAGTCGCTTGTTTTCTTTTTCCTTCTTATTGTTTTCTTTTTGTTTTTTTTCCCAAAGCCCCTCTTCCCAATTTTTCCAGTTTCTTCCTTTTTTCCAGCCGGCCATCCCCCAATCCTTCTCTTTTTTTCTTTGATTTTTGTTCCCCAAAAATTCCTTAAGCCCCCAAGCGTCAAGACATCTCATCCCTTAGGTGTTGTGTTGTCCAAAATACAAAGGGACACTTGTCCCAATGCATGCCCCCCACACTTGTTATTTTTTTACTTTTTCTTCTTTTTTTTTCTTTTTCCTTTTCTTTTTCTTTTCCTGAAATTTAGTAGATAAGAAATACTTTTAACCTTAAATAAAATAAAATAAGAGACCCAAAAAAAAATAAAATAAATAAATAAACTAAAAACCTAAAATTGAACACATAACGCTAAACTTAAATCAATTAAATAAACAAAGTTTAAAACCAAAAATTTGGTGTCTACAGAGAGAAATTAACAAGAGAGGAACTTCATTTTCCAACTCCCAAACTTGCTTGAATCTTGAGTTTTAACCAACCAAATTTCAAATCACTCCATAAAGTGCTAACTAAGGTAGCTTCCAAGGTGTTGGTGGAGTGACTTTGGTGGAAGAAGTACTAAGCTACCATCTTTCTAGTGGCTCTAAGGTAACTTTCCAAGAAATCCCTCTTTGCTTCTAATAGTTGCAAATTAGTGGTTTAAGGTTGAAGTTTTGGTAGTTTTATGAGAATATTTCATAGTTTGAAGTAGTATTATGGAATTTTCAGTTTTATAGTGAATTTTCTGCCATCATGTGATGATTAAGGATGGCCATGGAATGATAGCTTTGTTATGTGAAAAATTGAAGCTTTTATATGTTGGTTTTGGTTGCTTACAAAAATTCCAGCTTGTATGATTGATTTCCAGCTTTAGAGGGCAAGCTGTCTTGTTTTTGACCTATGTAATTTGTCCATGTTAGAAGCCGAATCAGGCCTAGGTCAAAACATGAAAGTTGTAAGGAATGGAGTTAGAAAGCTTCCTGCAAACTTTCAGCTCAATCCGGGCATAGTAGCATGTTATATGACTAAAACACCTCTGACTGCCAAATGTTCTTTTCCGCAGACAGTTTTCAGATTTCACATTTCTGGCTTCATTTGTCACTATGATCCGTATCAAATCAGCCTTTAGTCAAAGCACAAAAATTGTAGTCCTATGTTTTAGATTTCCAACGCATCTAAAAACGCCTCAATCGGACTTTTGTAGCCTGAGTTATTGCTATTTGAATCCAATACTGACAACCAGACTGACAATGAACATCTGATTCTGTAATCTGCAAATTCGACCTAGATGAACTATGAACTGGGTTGAGTTGTCTTCATTAAAGTTGTAACCCTTTGTTTTAGATTCGAAACAGTATAAAGCGTACCCCAAACCGACAGCCGTAGCTTTAGTTGTGTCCAAAACGCCAAGAGACGGCAAATTTGCCATTTAGCTATTTGCCTTTAAACTTGGTTTCTGGTTGCATTGTTAAGACTTGTGTTGTAATTGGATTATTTTGAACCCAGTCGAAGGGCTATTGTGCTAACATGGCTTATGTGTGAATTTGGGCTGAGTTGAGGAAAATAATGATGCCATAAATGGCTAAAAAATAGAGAAATACAAAGGGCATGCTATGCAAAATTTTAGGGCTACTTGATTCCTTCAATTTTGGGTCGATTTGGTGATAAACTTGCTTAAGATCCTTGGTATATCTATAACCTTTATTTAGATGTTGAATTTTGGTTGAAATGGAAGGATTTGCATTGGTATTTTCCTCCAAGTTGTTGGCTTAAATTTCTATTTGTTGGTCAAGTGATAGCGAAGTTTATTACCTTGTGTTTTCCAACCTTTTCATGATTTGGTTTTGGCCAAAACTTGTTCCACACATTGGTTAAATCTTTGTGCTTGAAATTGAGTGAAAACTATTTCGATTAGGAGGTGAACAACCTCATGATTTCACTTGTGTCATGGCTGCGAAAATTTGCAAATTTGTATCTTGTTACCTCTAAGTCTTAAAGCATTAAAATAACTCGTGTCATGATTTCACTTGTTGCCTGGTTACCTTGTTATCTTGTTACCTTTATCACCATGTTACGTACTATAGGCATACGACTCGTACTTGAGTCTCAATGGTTTTGCTTGGTTGTTCTAGAACGTGCCAGTGATCAAAGGCATCCTTTGGAAAGACACTTTTGATGTTATCCTTGTTTGAACTGGTGAGTGTACCGCTCGCATGACTTGTTACTTAACTGTTTTACTTGTACCTGCAACGTGTGACTTGAATGACTGTAACACCTGCTTAATTCTAGCTGAGACAAGGAGGTACTTCATCACACTCGTCTCTCTTGCTTACTTGTCGAATCACTGTATATGCTTGAACCTGTTACTCGTGCCTGTTATACACTGAACTTGTTACTGTGCCTGACCTGATATCGTTTGGATGTGTATCCAATGACTTTCCTATTAAACCTAAGTTCAACCCCATGGGCAGTCAATGGAATCGAGCCAGCAAAAGCTTGGTCGAGAAAAATTGACAAACCATGGGCACTGTTCCCGGGGAATCTTTGGGTTTTAGGCATACTCAAGTGTTACCATTCTTGTTCATGTTTGGCGTTCAGGCCCAGCAAGGGGTATGTTTGGTGAACGGGATTTGGTAAAAATTTCAGTTTATCAAGGAAGTTAAGCGCAACCAAATTATAAGAACAAAAGTAACGAAGGAAAATTAGTACCCAAATTGAGGATATTTTTCACTTTTATAAGAACAAAAGTACCCAAATTGATTCACCTTTAATTAACCGGATATTTCTGAATGGTGTGTTTGTTTGGACTGAAAATATTTTCTGGAAATCACTTTCAACAATTTCCGGTGTTTGGTTGCTTTAGAACTAGTGAAAATACTTTCCATAGCAAAATATTTTCCCGAGGTCAGTGTACAATAACTTTCCTAAATGAGCTACTAGAGTTGTTTTCAGGACAATTGTATCTTTGACGAAATTGAGACTCTCAACAAAAGAACGTTACCTCCAAAGAAGATGAGAGACTCAAAAACTCGCCAGGAAATTTGCTGGTGAACTTACCTGTGATTCCGTTTTCGGCAACTTTTCCGGTGTAGTTTTGAATACAATTTTTCTTTCCAGACAACTTCAAAGATCTTTTTCCTTCTTCATTTGAATGCGCTTTTGTTTCTCCTTTTCTTTTTCCAATATTTTTGTGTCAAATTGCCTTGATCTTTATGTAAAAATTGGATTTGGAGTTTATGGATCATATTCTGGTGATCGGTGAGATTACATTTTCCTCACCTCCCATTCAAGGAATTCTCTTAAGTCGACTATGGATCTGCTACTCCATCTCAAGTGGTAAGAAGATGGATTTCCATGGGGTTAAGGGTGTGTCGGCTTGAGGTGGTTATGTAGTAGTCGGCAAAGAACAATGGTGGTGGTAATTAGTCATAACCATTTTGAGGGTAGGAACAAAGTTGCAAAATTGCAACCAAACAGCAGCAAATTATGAAAATGCAAATCTTTTCCAAGAAAATAATTTCAAGTGAAAAATTTTCATCATGAAAATGTTTTACATTGAAACAAACGGAGCCTTAGTCTAAACAAGATGTACACTTCAGGCAACTTTGATCACAAGTCATAATGTTAACTTATTTCCATTGATAGTATATTTCTCTATTTATTGTTTTAACTTATACAAATAGTATCAGACGATACTCAAATAATTATTGCTCTCATTAAGGGAATGCACGTCACTTTCGTGCCATATGTGCATCTAAAATGATGAAATTCATACATTTCAAGGTTTTGTGAATTACTAGTATTATATAGGGAAAAATTGAATATTCAGCATGCAAATTGTTAAAATTGGACGACGAGTGGGGCTAAGTGAGAATCATGTATTTTTCGATGGTATAATTTGGCGATTAACCAATTTATTTTATAAAAACAAATATATCATAGAGGAGAGAGAGAGAGAGAGAGGAGAAGAAGAAGAAGAAGAAAAAAAAAAATGTAAGAACTATGCTGTGTAATGTCAACTTAAGCAAGCTATTAAACTCGCAAAGACCTAACTTTTGGTTTGATAAAGAACTGCTGCATCATTGGCCTGGTTGACCTAGAAAATATAAAGATCTTTTATCTACACCAAAATTTGAGATAGCTGAGAATTTCCTTTGCTCAATAATGTCCCTAATATATTCTTGAACGTTTGCATTGTTCTACTTCAAAGGCCCTGATCTGTTTTTATCAAATACCTTTTATTTGAATAAGCAGAGGGGAGAGATTTTATGCGGGGAAGGGGGAGGGAAAATATGAATCAAAGACCGTTAATTCCACTTCTGATCATTTACTTGAAAGCTATGATACCATAACATCACTCTTGTGCCATTCAAAGTTTCACAGAATATTCCAATACTAATCGTTTCATTAAAAAAAAGAAAAGAAAAGAAAACGTAACATTCAAATGCTCAAAATCTATACAATGCTGAAGGAAAAGAATAAAAATTTGATACAAACGAACAAAGTAATAAATGTCTAAAAAGACATAAATCAATGCAGCTTAGGGGGAACCGATGGAAGGACATTGATTCAAATGTTGGACAATAAATTGGGCATATGTAAATTCAGACTAATTTATAGATTCAATGGCAATTCGTCAAATAAAACTAAATTGAATAATCAGTTTTGTCCTTCCTAATGTATATTTTCCATGCCTTTCTCAGTATTGATGTCGAATTTATCTAGAGATGATGATAAGGAAATGCGGCTTGGATTCTGTTTTTTCTCTTCTGCAAGAACCTCTGCAAAGATCTTTTCATGGAGAGACCAGCTGCGGGACCATATATTGGTGATTGCAGGACAGGGGAAGATGGTTCAGAAGAAGAAGATAGGGTTCTTGACTTCTCCTCCATTTCTCGACTTGCAAACGATATGATGGCTCTGGCCTGCATGATAAGAAGAAATTAATATGTTAAGAATCAGACTAGAATTGTAAATCCTGCTCTAAATTTATAGAAAATTAAAGGTAGTTGAGAACCTCTTTTATTTATACCTGGCTATAGCCAGATTAATAACTGTATTTTTTTTTTTTGGATTTTTCTCTTAATAACAATCATCATCGTTTTCTATAGTAAATCCAAATTAAGATATGAACGGAATATTTATAAATCTCTCGGAATTTATTATCTTCCGGTCGCATGATACCATTGTACAGCCTAGCTTGTGTTTATGAATAAAAAGACAAAGGCAGCTTAACTTTTGGTCTATCACTAAATCTTTTCTAGGCAACATGCTTAATTTTTTTTTGGGTATTTTTTTCAGATGGATAACAATAGATTTCGTCAAACTTCTTAAGAAATATAACGTAGAGCAATATATTCACGATGTTTAAAATTTGGCCAATGCCATGAAGCTGGAAAACAAAGAAAAAAGAAACTACCAATTGGGTAGCATATTGAAAGTTTGAAGTAAAGTTTCAATGACCAAGAATTAGTTACTTGCTTTCTTCATGGTATGTTCAAATTTACTATTTAATCACCGAATTTAGGAGGTACAAAAGGTAATAATCTCTTAAATATCCTACGTGATTGGATCCATCTAATTTGGCTTTCAAGCTAGTACTGGACAGAACAATCCCTGATTCCGATTACTTACCATCTGATCTCATTACCAAAACTTCTTTTGCAAACTATATTCACAACACATTTTAGAAAAGATTCCAGCAGCTTACACATAAAAACAATTCAGAAGAAAACATACCTGAAGCTCTGTAACATCACAAACAGCAACCTTCCCGTTGTAAAAGATAGTCATCTGCTGCTCCTCCTCCTCCTCTTTCCCACACCAATCCGGCAAGCCAAAACCACCGGCAGCTGCCGGTAGAAGCCGGAGTTCCAAATTGTAGTTTCTCCTCATTGATATAACCAAAAATGTAAAATATCAATGATCCAAGAGAAAGTTAGCAAAGATTGAGTCAATACGTAGTTGAATATTTGGAAGGCGCAAGAAGTTGATAAAACTTCATACATATATATATATATATTTATATGTACGTATATAGCAATATAGAAAAGAATGAGGTCTCAATCCATCCGCACGGGACAGACTATGGAAAGGGGTAGAAGTTGAAGCACGTGGCTGAAAAAACAAACGTTTTGAAAAGTACGTCCAACACGAAACGCATGCTGGCCAAAAGGCGAAGCGCAGACAAGAAAATCGGCGGAACGTGAAAAATTGGTAATATGCACGTGGAACATGATGTTTTATACCCACCTCCGCTACGGCGTTGTTCTTAGAGATGTTTCCTGCACGTGCTTTAGTCGGCCGCAAGTCTTCTTCATGTTTTCTATTGCTAATTATGTGTAACGTGGCTTGATGGGTTAGCATACGTTTATTTGTATATATTCCTTTCACATTTTGTTAGGTAGGATTTGGAGAAACTCCAATTTTTATTTATTACTCATTTCTTCTCATTAAAAGTATCATATTTTTCATTTTAAAATATTTTAAAACATTTATCATGTTCGAAAAGTTAAAACACCTTTTAATTGTTCTTTTCAATATAATTTTTCTTTCTAATTATCTCTGTATTACCATTCAAATTTAAAATTTGAATTTGTAGGGGTAAAATTGAAAAAATGAGTACAAATATTACAATCAAACTACTATTTTTTAAAAGTTAGATTCCGGAAATATGACTAAATAATTGAGACGAAAGGTGTATCAGTTTTATTGGGATGGTTACTTTTAGACTTGTATGTGTTTCTGTTGGAAAGAACTGCACTGGTATCCTTATAATTTATATCAATTCTCACGTTGCACTCTAGATTTTACTTTTTGCAAATTTATGCTCCCACTTTGGGTAATAGGTAATCATGTTAATCAGTTGGTGGTGTTGCACTGAACTCCAACTTAGATGCATCATGTTTTCTATGGATTTGGATTTAGATGTTCAAATCAAGATCCTATCTCAATGCAAACTCTAAAACTGTTTATAAATTTAGGTAAGGTCTAGCTCTGCATAATAACTATTTATAATAGAAAATCAACTAAATTATAATTATTGGGATAGTACCTTTTAGACTTTAATTGTTTTTGTTTGGTGTAGACACCGAATTTTGATTCATACCTAAACAAGGGAGGCGAAGCAGTCAAACGTAGGAGGGCCGTTGTCCTTGGTCCAATTTCTCAGGTTTGCAAAAGTGGATTTCTCATGCTTTTGTCTCATGGCCTTGCATTAAAGGCCATTTGGACCTACCTTTGAGTTCTTTTTTGACCAATCCTATCTAACTCTTTTCTTTTGCGGAAACACACACCTCCCCTCCCAAGTCCCAACTCCCCACTCTCGGTTATCTCTCTACAATGCGCACGCTCGCACACAACACAATATTCCAACCACAACTCACTCCAGCTCTCCGCCCGTCCCTCACGGTCACTGTAGAGAGAACCTGAAGATTTCTTTTGAGGGGGCCAATTTTAATTTAATTAAGTCTTGAGTATGTAACTTAAAATATTTTTAATTTTTTAGATGGATAAAAGTTAAATTCGCAAAAAAAATTTATAAAAACTTTTAATTTTTCAAAGAAGAAAACTTGATTTATCAAAATTTAGGGGTGAAGCCCCTTCCTGCCACCCCTAGTTTTGTCAGTCACGCAATTCACATTTCACACACTGTCACTTCACACATAATTCACTTCATTTTCCTACTCTCTATCCCTCTGCAGACCAAAAAAAAAAAAAATCCCTCTGCAGAAACACACTAGCACAACACTTTCACAATACACACACAACTCAATCCATTTTCACGTCTCCATCTTTCCTCTCCCTCACTCTCTCAGCTCTCCCTCCCAACCAACACTTACACATATCAGCACTCACACACTACCACACACTTCACTATCTCACACACAACTCTCTCTCTCTCTCTCTCTCTCTCTGTGCAACTCACACACACAACACACACCAACACATTCACACTGACACATACTACACACACCCGTGGAAACCAAAAACAAACATCACAACTCACCAAGGTAGAACTAGAGAAACCCAGAGCTGAAGATGGAGTCCTCTACCATTGCCATTTGAAGCTACTACTATTAAGGTCCTCCCTTTTCCATTTCTATGCTTTTACTCGTGAAAATTTTTTATTTCCATCTTAAACTGTGATTTTTGTGACCTTTTTCTAATGACTTGTTGGCTGCTTTGTCTCATATCTTGCATGAGGGTTATTTGGGTGCAAGTTTTGTGAGCTTTGAGTTGGTTTTGATAGAAAAATAGGGAAGAGACCTGGTTGACTTTGACCCGTATGGTCACCTTCCGTTCATTATTTTTTGATAAAAAATATGTCAAGAAACGGAATCTACGTGAAAAATCAATTGCCCGATGTAGAGGCAATTAAGAAAGCCGCATACGTAAATATGTAACCTAAAGAAAAATGCGTAATTTGGGTGAAATCTGATTACTAGAGGAGGTAACGGCTTGCAGTCAACCAACGGTGGCTTGCGGCCGTGAAACCACCATGGCTACTGATGCTTGAGTTTTAGCAGAAGTCAGGTAGAAGAAGAGAGAAAAAGAAAAGAAAAATAGGATAACCATGTCTTAATAAAACTACGTAGTATTGTCTCAAAACTACGCCATTCTACTAAAAGGTTGAAAAATGGGTTATAAAATCAGAAAATAAATTTGCAATTCGACCCCTCAATTTCTTGAAACTTCACTACAGCCTAGGAATTTTGATTCTTTTGCACTTAGACATCCATTTTAACTGCATTGCTGTCTCTAAACATTCTTTATGTCTTATTTTGACCTTGACCTTTTAATAATATTATTCTGACCCCAAAAACTTTCATATCGATGCAATTAGGTCCCTATCACAACGTTAATTTTTCAATTAGAGTAGTTTGTTTGTTTCAATTACCACTTTTATTCTTTGATTGTGCATCCTTAACCATTTCTGTGTGGTTTGGTATGATTTTCACATCTATGTGACTTTAGTTAGTTTTTGAGTAATTTATTGTTATAATAATGGTACCATTATCCCTTTCATTCATGTTGTGAATCCCATATAGGTAAATTTTAAACCAGCACTTCAAAGGGAGGTGCTCCTTACATTGGAATCCAATTATGTTCTACTGTGTCTATGTGCTCCATGTTGTTTTAGTTTCTTAGTTTTGTTATTAAATTACTTTCTTAGTCTTAATTAATTTGAATTTTAAAATGCTTGTTTATTTTATTTTAATTAGTCAAGTTGCATTCATTTAATTAGATGTACTAGTTAGGTTCATTTTTCAACTTTTTCCGTGGCCCCAATTGGAATAGATAAGTTTTTTTTTTAATTTTTTACGCTTCAATTCGATTATAGTTAGATTATAATATAATAGATAGGGCTTGTATGATGCGAATGAGCAAGCTGGCCGTGGTGTTCACATAGGCCCGTGACACGTGCACAAGTTAAGAGGTTCAAAGAGTCATTTCTAGCCTTAATTCATGTCGTATAAACTCAAGAGAAACCAAGCTCATGTGAGGACCCGAAATTTTCTTATTTTATTTTATTTTACTGGCTTAATTAATTATTTAATTTGACTATTTAAAATTCATTTATATGGAAAAACGCCACTTTTATGTTTTTAAATCGTTTTGTTAGAAAAGTTACTTTTCGAAAATTCGTTTAGTTCGGAACAACAAGTATACGTTTTTCGAGACTATATTTGAATTAAGGGTATATTAATTTTGGAAAAGTAAGAATGATCAATAGTAAATTAAGAAAAGTCGTGAGGACTCGCAAAATTTATTTATTTTAAACTCCTGTTACGAGTTATTTAAATATTTAATTGCTTGTTTACCCCGAATATTATTTTCTAACCTTTTTAGACCCAATTACATGGAACTATGACTTACATGTATTTTTAAAATGCCTTGTTATGGAAATTAATTTTTGGAAGCTCGTTTAGTGAGAATAGTGAATACACATTTTTGAGACAGTGATCGATTTGGGGATACAGTGAGTTTGGAAAATTGGAAACTTATACATCAGTCTTAAAAATATGTATTTTTATGATTAAGTACTCAAGTATTAGTTAGTAGTACTATCGTTATAAGAATTTCTTAGAGGTTTCACCGTAACGCGTATAAATCAAGAGTTCGCATATATCAAGACGGAGCGGTTATTTGGAGATTTTAGAAATTTATTCTAGACTATTAAGAGTGAATAATTATAATGTTTAAGAAAGTGTATTGGAGATTTAGTGCACAAGTGAAACAAACCCAAGAGGAAACGAGCACGAAACGCGCGCGTACGTGCACTAATCTTAGTTGACTTTTGGAGTATTCTTAGCCACACATTCTTAAGCTTCCCCAAGAAGCTTTTGCAGCTGCAACAACCTTTCTTTTTCTCCTCTACCAGCCGTGCATCACCCCAAGGAAGAAGACAACCAAAATTCTTCTTCAACAACTCCCTCATTTCTCACCCAAATCACTCCAAAATTTAACTACAACTTGCAAATCACTTGGAGATTACATCAAGCTAAGAAAGAGGGCTGCTTTCCACGGTTTTCTTGGGCTTCATTGGATCGAAAATTCTGTCTTAGTTCATCTAAGAAGATAAACCACGATCAACCCTTCAAATCTTGCTTTATGGAAGTAGTAGTGCACATATAAGCTCATGCATGCATGTGGGTAGCTTGTTTATGTTGGAAAAATTGTTGTGTGGGCTCTATGAACTCCCACTTTGGTTGGATGGACTGATTTGATGAATGATGATGCTATTAATGTTGGTTTAGTGTTTAAATTAGTGGAATAATGTTGTATTGTTGGTAGAAACTCAAAGGGGAGTGAAGGTGAAAATTTTCCAATTCTGCCCCTATGTTGTCCGTGACCCTTAGGGTGATTTTTCGTGGTTCTAATGGCTTATTTATGATGTATATATGTTGTGTGGGTTGTATAAAAAGTTTCATAAAAAAATAACGTGATTTGGTTAGCCAAACGTTGTGATTTCGGAAGTT